TATGACACTCTCTCCATGTTCCTGCCTCCCTCTACACCACAAATGCAATGCAGTTCTATGTAGGAATTATGTTCTGACTCAACTATAGGGTTAGGGTGGGAGGTTAGGGAAGCTCTTCTTTGTAATGAGGTACTTTTGAGTGACAGAGGAGAGGGCCAGGGGATGAGCCTGTAAGGAGAGGCGATGCTTTGATTCCCCTGGAAGTGCTACGGGAGGGGCGGGGCCTGCAGGAGGCCAACCACTGCGGAGAGGGGTCAATATAAAGCACCGAAGAGCGGTCCTGGAGGAGGCCCAGAGTGCAGGGAGGGAGTCCGGAGGGCTGGGCTGATCTAGGCGAGGACAACTGAAGGGTCAAATGGAAGGGTCAGCCACTAACGGGGACATCCTTAAACGTCTCTATTTATCTGGTGTGTTCCTCCCAGTATTCATTATGGATGATCCAATGAAGTGGCTTTCCCCCTAAATGACAATCGCACATTAGAGTGCTGAAGGCCCTCTAGTGAGAGGAGCGAAGGGAGAGATAGATCTGTCCCAAGGGCATGAGCTAAGAGAGAACCCGCCCTTCCCTGGGATGGAACCAGCAAAGAGTCCACCATAATCCTCCTCTACTGGCCTCCCATCGGGCATTCCACAAACACTGGCTGAGCCCTGCCACGCGGGAGGCCCAGGGCTGACTCCATGTCCCTCCCAAAGCCCTTCTGCCCGCTTAACACTTCTATTGTCCTCACCCCCGAGGCCCTCAGAGCGCTTTCCTCCCGGGAGCTCCTCTCCCCGAGGCTCCCCCACAGCAGCCACAGAAGGCAAATCTTGTAGTTATCCATTACCATCCTGGAGACCCATCTGTGAGGGGCGCAGGCTTGGCCGGAATGGGGTAATAGAGAGAAAAGGCTCATTACGAGATCCTGACAGCACGGCTGCTTTTGCAGCCAGGATTGCACAGATACCAGCTGCCTCTGAGGGTGGAAACTCCACAGGCCGGTCTTTTGTGCAGCTGGAGAGGCACAGAACTGGACAGACTTGTCCCTCTAGAAGCTTTTTTTTTTTTTTTTTTTTTTTTTTTTAATTTTTATTGATTTCAGAGAGGAAGAGAGAGGGAGAGATAGGTAACATTAATGATGAGAGAGAATCATTGATTAGCTGCTTCCTGCTTCCTGTTTCCTGCTTCCTGGGGATTGAGCCTGCAACCAGAGCATGTGTCCTAATCAGGAATTGAACTGTGACTTCTTGGTTCATAGGTTGAACACTCAACCTTTGGGCCACACTGCTCAGGCCTTTCCTTTATTTCTAACTAGAGGCCTGGTGCATGACATTCGGGCACTGGTTGGGGGAAGGTCCCTTAGCCCAGTCTGTGCCCTTTCGCAGTGTGGGAGCCCAGGGGATCTCCAACTGACAACTTAGGCCCGCTCCTGTGAGCTGTGAGCCCAGCTTCTGGCTGAGTGGTGCTCCCCCTGTGGCACTAATCACCAGGGGCAGTTCCTGCATTGAGCATCTGCCCCCTGGTGGTCAATGTGTGTCATAGGGACCAGTCATTCCACCATTCGGTCTATTTGCATATTCTCCTTTTATTATATAGGCTGTAGCTCATCCCAAGCCTGGTTCATTTATCCCTTACAATAGCTTTCAGATCTTTCCTTCCTCTTCTTTCTACCTGGTACTGTTCTAGTCTGAGCCTTTCATTCATATGTTCACTGAACCTTAAATGATGACGTATTTTATTTATTTATTTAGGGGGGAGAGAGAGAGATATCAATTTGTTGTTCTACTTATTTATGCATCTATCGGTTGCTTCTTGTATGTGCCCTGCCTGGGGATTGAACCTGCAACCTTGGCATATCAGGACGATGCTCTAACCAACTGAGCTACCCAGGGCTGAGCAAACAAGATGGACATGGACCCCTGACACGCCTTTCTCTGGCCCCACCCTCCTTGAGTACCTGTCAGACTAACTGTCCACAAACACCAGTTTCATGTTATTCTTCCTCGGCTCCCTATGTCCTACTTCATTGAATCTCAGTATCTCTACTCGGCCTTCAAAAGCCCTCCACAGCCCTCCAAACCCTCATGTCATCATTTTATTACTGTCGTCGTAGGAAGGTGAGTGGCTGCTGCAGGCATTATGCTGACTCGTGCTGTCCAAGTCTCCAGGTTGCTTGCGCGTGCAGAACCCTATCATCACGCCCATCACACTGTCAATGGTCGCGGTAGAAACAGCCACCATCTGTGACCTTCCTATTGCCAGCCAGATACGGTGCCAATCACATTATAGGCCTTAGCTCCTCGAAAGCCTCACAATCAGAGGAGAGATTCAACACTGGCAGTGACTGAGGCATGGGCACCCACAATCAGGGAGGACCTCGGCTGCCATACCAGGCCAGGCAAGCTAGCTCTGACCACAGCCATTCTGAAAAGCGGCCATTATGGACGCAGAAGGCACAAGGGCCGTGCCTGGGGACACACAGCTGATCAACAGAAGCACCAGGATTCAAATCCGGGAGCCTCTAACTTCAGAGCCTTCCGCCTATCGGAGGAGCTCCCTCAATCCCCAGGGCACAACCCCTTCTCTAGTGATACCGGGTCCTTCCCTGCAATTTAAATTGTCTAATCAGTGACCCCTCACAGCCCCAGGGGCTGCATTACACACTGCTTCTTCCCACATTCATTCACTTCTATAATCGTTGGCTGTGGCTGTGGCTGTGGGTGAGCAAGGGAGGGGACCTCCCTGGACGCAAGGACTGTGCCATTTCTGCTCACAGCACCATTCCCAGCGCCCGGTACATTACCGAGCACATAACCGGTGCTTGGCAAATGTCTGTTGAATAAATCAATGAAGGGATGAAGAGGGGATGTGGAGGCATTGGGGAGAATCAATGGCCCTGATGCCATGGGGCCCTGGTGCCATGGGGCCACAAACGTTGTTTGTGGTGGTGGTGGTTAATGTTTAATACTCCTCGGAGCCACGAGGCCAGCCTGCATTTCCACGTGATTCTTTATTCCCTCCGGAGGAGCAGGCGTGGGAGTCAGGGAACTCTGGGTTCCGATCCCAGCTCTGTGGTCTTAGGCTTGTTTGCTTCTCTGCTAAGTGGAGCTGTATTACTGCCTCAAAGAGATGTGGGGTGAGATGGATAACACTAGCAGCCTCGGTCCTTCCACACATACCAGCCCTCACTCAAGGGTACTTTTCAAAGACCCAGGTGACTCATGAAACCCACGCAGAACCTCAGAAGACAAGAAATATGCTGACAATGCCTTGCCATGCTAGCTGTCAGCAGCTGCGTGTCACTGCAGGTTGCCCAGGACCAAACCAGAGAGGGTTGGACCTGCATTACCATCCGTCCACCATCCAGAACTGAAATATCATTGCTGACATGCACACACAAGGAACTATTTGACATAGAAATTGGGACTCAAAAGAACTGTTGGCCCAGAAAGAAACTCAGTACAGACTGATTCATTTGCCTCTCAGCCTAATCATTATTGCTTGGCTCATTTTCAGTTCTTTTTTTTTTTAATTTATTTTTTTTTTTCATTTTCAGTTCTTATAAGTATATTTCTAGTATCAAATGAGCTCACTCATCTAGGGGAAATGATGAACACCATAGACTGATGAACAAGAACAGCATCAATCAGACTGTCAGGCCTCAAAGGGAAGATAGGGGAGGGTGGGGATAAGAGAGAGAGATCATCCAAAGGACTTGTGTGCATGCACATGTGCCCAACCAGTGGTCATGGACAACAGGGGGGTGGGGGCAGGCGTGAGGAGGGGTTTGGGATGGGAATGGAGGGAGGAGGACAAACATGTGATATCTTAATCAATAAAGTAATTTTTTAAAAAAAGAAATAAGGTAGGGGAACCCAGAAGGGGTGCTGCGGAAGGGGAGGTGTGGGCCCCAGCTGGACGCAGAGCTGAGCAATAGTGGGAGGAGTGGCTGTGGGGAGGGTGTGTGTGGTGTCACTGATTAGAGAGATGTACAGTGTGGGCCTCTGATCCTTTAAATAGCTGTCGCCAAGTGGGAGGGGCATTCTAGGCAGCAAGTGGGGCAGTCCCCTCTGTCCCTCTGTCCCTCTGTGCCAACTGTCACCTGCCCCCTGAGAGGTGGTGGAAATGGCAGGGGCGAGGGGGCATGGCTTCCCCACCCCCACCACACCACCTGCCCCACTGCCCTCAAAGAGAACCCCCCTCGCTTAGCAAAAACAAGTTTGAATCTTTGTTCAAGTGAGCTTTTCTATCAAACCAACGAGCCAAAGAAAAAGAGCTTAGTGCCAACTCAGATTTCTGTGCCGACCTCCCCAGACTGGCATTCATTGCTGGTCACTCAACACCCCTCTCTCCCCCCCCCCACCCCTTTCCTCCAAGGCCCGCTGCACCCATTCATGAACAAGCCACACCCACCTGGATTCCTTGCTTTGCCTACAGCCATCTCCCAGCCGCCCCCCCCCCCCCCAGGGTGGCAGGAAGAAATCAGGATTTGGGGGGGATCCCAGCCCTGGCTTCCACCTCCAGCGCCCCGTGTGACCTTGAACAAGTCATGTCCCCTTTCTCTGGGCCTCAGTTTCTTCACTGAGACATGGGCCTACCCCCTAGGACGCCGGGTGGGAGGTGGGGACCTGCTGATGGAACCTGTGGGAGTCCTGGTAGGGGAGGCACCAGAGGAGGGCTCAGACCGCACCCTCCCTCCCAGCACCCAGGACTGCTGGTGCTCTGGACGTGTGCCTTCCCCTTCCAGCTCCCTTCCCCATCCCTCCTCCGCCTCCCAGTCTCCCAGGCATGGAAAGCCCCTGGATCTGAGCAGCACCTTCGTGCCCACAGCCTGGGACACTGGACAGGGCAGGGGCGAGTGGCATTATAGGGGAGGCTCAGCCCACAGGGGGCACAGCTGGGCTCCTACCTGCTGGGCTTCCCACCCCTTCCAGCTTATTTCCCCTCTCACCCCTCTCCCTCACCCCCCCCCCCCCGTCCCCGGCTGTCCCGGAGGGGTACGGGGCGGCCCCCTGGCCCTTACCGGAGAAGACCTTCCCGTCCCAGGTGAGCAGGGCGGCCCCCACGGGGAAGTGGCTGTAGGGACAGTACGCGGACCTCTTGGCCTCCTGCGAGCAGCGCAGCAGCCGCCGGACGTCCTCGGGGTCCAGGGCCCGGGCGGGACGCTCCTGGGCCATGGCGGGCCGGGGTTCGCGGAGCAGACGGGGAGCTCCGGGCTCAGCTGGGCTGGGCCCCGCGGCCCGGGCTCCTCCCCCGGGGAGTCTCCCCGCCCGGAGGCGCCCAGGCGCACCTTCGGGGATGCGGGCGGGGCCAGCTCCGGGAGGAGCCGCAGCGCAGACCCTGGTTCCGGGCCAGGGGGTGTGGCTGGGTCCGGCCCGGGTTCGGAGCCAGGGGGTGTGGCTGGGTCCCGGTGGAGGGACGTGGCTGCCCGCACGTGGCTCCCGTCGCCCCGGGGCACCTCGCACCGCTAACACCGGGCGTGGTGGCCGGCGACCGGGGTCGCTCACAGCGTGAGGCCCAGGGCCGGAGGGTCGGAGGGAGTGACATTCTCCCTCCCTCACGGAGGGAAGGGAGGAAGCTGAAGGGCAGGGCCGGGCAGCTGCCCTGGTTTTCTGAGCGAGGAAGTAAGACCGCACTATTCTTTATTTTCGCCGGGGGCGCCTTTCCGCGTGTTCCTGTCTCACCCAGAACTGGGAAGGATCTCAGCGGCCCTGATCCCCACCCAATAGGGGGCGTGCGGGAGGCATCCCACCAGTAGTTCCCATCGTTGATGCTGCTGTCTCTTGATTTGCCTCTCCCTTCCTCTCTGAAATCAATAGAAAATACATATATTTAAAAATATATATGCACACTAATAAAAGGGTAATATGCTAATTAGACCAGGAGACTTTCCGGGAGACCAGCCAGGGAGGGCAGTTGGAGGCCATGAGGCTGGCAGGGGAGGGCAGTTGGGGGCAGGAGGAGTGGTTAGGGGCGATTGGGCAGACAGGCAGATGAGCAGTTAGGAGTTGGCAGTCTGACATCCCCCAGGGGTCCCGATTGCAGAGGGTGCAGGCCAGGCTGAAGCACACCTTCCCCTCTACATGAATTTCGTGCACTGGGCCACTAACATATATATATTCCCTCAGCGGGAGGGAACCTCTCTGAGATCATCTTTCAGGCAAAACAAATATTGGGTGTTGGTAAAAGAAATGGGTTTGCATCCTGGCTTCACCACGCTCCACATGCACAGCTGTAGGCGGGTTCCTTGACCTCTCTGAGCTAATTTCCTCTCTGCAGTGGGGATGATAACTGGACGGTGAGCAGAGTTGTTTTCCCGGAGTCGTGTCTTGCACTGCCAAAGAATGAGCTATGCGGACGGGAGATTTAGGCAAAGCGTGGAAAATGTATTACAAGCAGATTCCGACTCCCCGCAAGAGGAGGGGGACCCGATAATGGGCTGCCCATTAAAACCTTGTAATGCAGCTCTAACCGGATTGGCTCAGCGGATAGAGTGTCGGCCTGCGGACTGAAAGGTCCCAGGTTTGATTCTGGTCAAGGGCATATACCTTGGTTGCGGGAACATCCCCAGTGGGGGGTGTGCGGGAGGCAGCTGGTCGATGTTTCTAACTCTCTATTCCCTCTTTCTTCCTCTTTGTAAAAAAATCAATAAAATATATTAAAAACAAAAAACAAAAACCACCTTGTAGTCCAGGGGTATATTTGCCACAGGCCCGCTTCTACGTCTGTGTGTCGTCACCTGATTGGCTCCCTCGATGGTTTGTGCCCAGCAGTGGACCTAAGTGTTCCCTGTTTCTGTGTGTTTTTTCTCTGTTCCTGTGCTGAGCTTTTTCTGTTTCTGTGTGTTCGTGCATGTTGTGTACAGCAGCCCTCCTTTGGTGTCCCGTGCCTCTGCACTGAGTGCAGAAATGTTTTATTATTTCTGCTTGGCTGGTTCCTGTGGTTGGGCTGGCTCAAAACTGCCATGTCTGCCCCTGCCTATGCTTCACCTGCCTTGGCTGTCCACTGGACCTCTGCCCTGCCTGCCTGCCTTTCAAGGCAACCCTCTATGGGACAGTGATGCATTCAGCAGACCCTAGTTTAAGTTGCAGTTCTGCCATTAACCTTGGGAAGCCATAGGACCTTGGGAAGTTAACACCACCTCTCTAAGCTCAGTTTTTCCACCTGTAAAATGGGTGCACTAATGGTGTCTGGCAGAGTTAGGACTGAATGAGATGATGTGTGTTAGAGCAAACATGATTGCAGGATCCTGAGACATCATATGTGCCCACTCTCTGTGACTGCAGGACAATTGGGTTATTGTCACTGAGTGACTTAGGAAGGGGAGAACACCAGTCGGGGTGTCAAGAGGCATCCAAATGTCCTCAGACCCCCAGCAAGGATGGATTCTGGCTTCTCTGAGGGAAGGGCAGGGGTGGGAGGAAATGAGGCAACACCTCTATGTCCTGTATGCTGACATCTCTGTGTCCTGCAGCCTGGCTCCTGCATCCGAGCTCTTATCACACAGAGACTGAGCTGAGCGTCCATAGAGTTGGGCAAGTTTGCCTCATTTCCTCCTCCCTTCCCCAAACCCATGCCCTTCAGATTTCTCCACCTTCTTTCCAAACATCCATCCCTCCGAGAGGCAGCTGGTTCCGCCCCCCCACTGTTGCATGTTTCTCCCGGATCTGTATATTTTAAAAAATATATATATATTTTATTGATTTTTTACAGAGAGGAAGGGAGAGGGAGTTAGAAAATCGATGAGAGAGACACATCGATCAACTGCCTTCTGCACACCTCCCCCTGAGGATGTGCTCCCAACCAAAGTACATGCCCTTGACCGGAATCGAATCTGGGACCTTTCAGTCCACAAACCGACGCTCTATCCATTGAGCCAAACCGGTTAGGGCCCGGGATCTGTACCTTTGACATCTAGACCAGTTTTCTGGATCTGAGGCAGGGCTGGCAAAGAACCTGAGGGTGCCCCTGCCTCTATCCCAGCACTGTCCAGGCATCCTGAAGGCCCCTCCCCCACAGACCCAGGAAAGAAAGTGAAGGATGTCTGGCTCCATGTGTGCCTACTGGACGTGGGAATAATTCTAATCATATATAATGTATAATCACAAATATAATCACAACTGGGAAGAGGATTGCAGGGCCCTGCTGGCCAGCCAGGCCTGTCAGACACCTCAACATGCAGTCCTGTTTCTGTCCTCAGCCCAGCCCTCGCCAGGCTCTCCCTAACCAGGGGAACTTTGATCACTCCCAGGCTAATAGTGGCCCTTGGCACCTTCAGAGCTCTTTACCTTCACAAGGTCATAAACGGGGACAGTGCCCATTGCAAACCCAGCGATATGCAACTTTAGAGATAGTGGTGGTTCTCGAATCCTTACAGAAGGGGCTTGGGCCATCTGGATGGAAGGGGAGAGTGTGCCTGGAAACTTGCTTGGAGCTAAGTTATAGAACAATAATACCAAGAACATTTAATAAACATTGCTTTAATCTCCTGTCTACAGAAAATTAAGACTTTCATTGTCCAGCTCAAAGAATAGAAATATCCAAGGAAGATGTTGTGAGTGGTGGTGGAGATTGTCAAGGCTCTAAATCCCCCACCTTTCCCCACCCCCAGGCCTTTCCTCTGTGAGAATACCCACCAGAGTATCTGTGTTAGAGCTCAGATACCACTCATTTGCTTACTCATTCATGATAGCAGCTCACTCTGATTTAGAGCTTTCCATATGCTAGGGCCAGTGCTAAATGCATGATTTGAGTGATTTCATGTAATCTTCACCCTAATAGATACTGAAGAAGTTTGTTAAATCTCTAACTCAGCTATTCTTTTTATGTGTGTGTGTGTATATACTTTTATGTGTAATATATACATATATATTTTCATGTATTCCTATCAGTTGTTGGTTTATATTTTTGAAGCTATATTGTTAGATGAATTTATGTAATTGATCATTATATACACTTTTTAAAATCCTCACCTGAGAATATTTTTTCCCATTAATTTCTAGAGAAAGTGGAAGGGAGGAAGAAGAGGGATAGGAGTAAAATATATTTTGGGATGATGCAATAAAGTGATATGAAAATATTTATGACTAGAGGCCCAGTGCTTGAAAATTCATGCACTGGGGTGGGGTGGGGGGTCTCAGCCCGGCCTCCTCCCTTTCACAGTCCAGAGCCCTTAGGGGTGGGAGGCGACCCAGTGATTAAGGTAAGGTGATGCTCCATCAACCTCTGCTGCTGCCACTGCTGGCAGCACAATCCTCAGCTGGCCCTGGTTACCTGGGCCTTGGGTGGCTGTGAGCAGCTGGGCAGCTGCCATCCAAGGCTTGCCTGCGCCTCAGGCCAGCCCTGGGAGGCTGGGGGGCTGAAGGGATGGGGGACTCCGAACGCAGACACATGGAGTAGCTGGGCCCAGCCTTGCTGGGCTGAGGGGACTGGGCGCTGCCACCTTGTAGCTGTGGGCATCACCATCCTGACCAGGAATTGATCTATGACTTCCTAGTTCATTGGCTAATGTTCAATCACTGAGCCATGCTGGCTGGGTGGCCTTGCCTTATTTTTAATCTTTTGGTTCTTTGTTGCAAGTGTGCCTATTATAAATGACATATTACTGGCTTATAAAATCTTTTCTGAGAGTCTTTGTCTTCTACACTTATTGTAAAACTGTCCCATTTATACTTATTGTAATTATTGTTATATTTTAGTTTGCCTCCTGCCATCTTTTTTTTATCAATATATCAATTAGAATTAGGTTCGACTTATAGAAAACTCCAAACACAGTGGTTTAAACAAGATATAGCTCTCTATTAGACTAAGACTCCACAGTCATCAGGGACCCAGTTTCCACCTTCTTAACTTGTAACTTCCATCTTCAAGTTCATCTCATGACCCTAGATGGCTATTGGAGCTTTAGCCTTCACAAACTTATTCCAAGCAGCAAGATGGAAGAGTGGTAGAAGAATATAAAGGATGTGCCTCTGCTTAATATGTTATTAGCTAGAACCTAATTATGTAGTCTCACCTAGCAGAAAAGGAAGTTGGGAAATGTTTTCTTTTGTCTGGGTACATCAATGACCTGAGTAAAATCAAGGTTAGCTTATTAAGGAAAAAAAAGGACAGTGCATTTTGACTGCTGTCTTTGCTTTAGTCTTCCCACCACAGCTCAATGCCCAACTGTCAACAG